TTATTTTCAGTTGCCTTTTTATCAGTTATATACACACAAGATGCAACCTCCCTACATATAAGTTCACATTATTGTTGATCACCAATCTACCACATTAGCATAACCCCAACAATGTAACAATATTAACAATCAATATTCAAATACTCTGGTGACTGAAGCCCTATCATTTCATTGTTTTTACTATTCTTTTTTTTTTTTTTTTTTTTTTGTGTCCTGCTGTGTTGCCAGGCTGGAGTGCAGTGGCACAATCTCAGCTCACTGCAACCTCCGCCTCCCGGGTTCAAGCAATTCTTCCGCCTCAGCCTCCCAAGTAGCTGGGACCACAGATGCATGCCACCATGCCCAGCTAATTTTTGTATTTTTAGTAGAGACAGGGTTTCACCACGTTGGCCAGGATGGTCTCAATCTCTTGACCTCATGATCTGCCCACCTCAGCCTCCCAAAGTGCTGGGATTACAGGTGTGAGCCACCACGCCTGGCCTTTTTTACTATTCTTAAGGAAGTGAGGAACTGTAAGTAGAACACAGAACATGGGAGATGTAGAATTATGACAAAAAGTACGACTGGAAATCATAGTTCTCAAGACTATGGTGCGGGGATTCTATTGACATCTGGGTAGGAATTGTGTTAGTCCACTCTCATAAGATTTCCATAGCATTAGTCTAAAGCTGTTTTACATTTGCTGAAATTTACATGATTAATTAAAATTAATGGTCAGTTTTAATACTAATATGCATCCTTATAACACCTAGATCCTGAAGTCTTTATTTATAAGTTTGGAGATTTGAAAAAGGGAAAGTGAGGATGAGAAAGAAGGGAGGCTCTTTCTCATCCTCTTTCTGGAATGAAAATTGATTGAATGTCTCATATGTATCTGAGATGCTTGATTGAAATATTCTATGTATTCCTTCTCTATAAGGTTTGTATTATTATGCCTATTTTATAGACTAGGTGCTCCCAGAAATTTTCTCCAAGGGTGATTCAGACAGAAAGTGGGGCTAAGCTCAAAACCAAACACAAGTATCTCTGACTACAATCCTGCCACTGAAAGTAAAGGAAGGCAGCTCTACTTTGCTTCTGCATGGGAATGTTGAGAAAAATAACTAGAGTGATACTGCAACATGTTTTGCAAAGCAATTGCAAATTGGTCCCAATTTCCTCTGGCTACTATATTAAAGAAATTGAAATAGAATCCAAAGATGAAGAGGAAGTCTACACTGGAACTCTGGATCTCCAGTGTGGACCCTCCAAAGGTGTATTAACCTTCTCCACAGGACTTATACAGATAATGAACTTTAAGACTTACTAAACCAGTTTTCCTGTTGCATAATTCCTTCTCCTGTCACTCTCTAAATGTGCAATGTCATCTCTTATGTATTGTAACCTGTACAATTGATAGCTAGTTCTAGTGCTACTACTGCTTGGCTAAATGATGTTTAAAATTAAACTTAATAAACGTTTTAATGAAGAGATCAGTCTATATAATTAAATAAAATTTCAAAAGAGCATATAACTGACAAACAAACTATCTCAGCCAGATGATCAAGGTCAACATCAAAAGTAATAAGTCATGTTGACAGTACCCTTGATATAATGTGATGAAAATGGCACTTTACCTCAGTGGTCCTACTCCCCAAATACATAAACCCAGTATAATTATGAGAAAAACACAAGAGTATCAAGAGAGGGACATTCTGCAAAATCTAAGTATTCCTCAAAACCATCAAAGTCATCAAAACCAAGAAAGTCTGAGAATTGCTATAGTTAAGGGAAGCCTACAGGGAAGTGATGACTAAATGCGATGCGGTATCCTAGATGCGAAGCTGGAACAGAAAAAGGTAAAAATGTTAGGTAAAAATTAAGAAAATTTGAATAAAATATTAACTTCAATAATAATGTATATCATAATACTGGTTCCTTAATTGTGGAAGACTAAGTATGTAGTATATGGGAGTCTCTGTAGTATTGTCATAATTTCTTTAAAAATCTAAAACTGCTGTAAGTAAGAAAGTTTAAGAATAAACAAAAGAGCACATAGATAGGATTTTGCTTCAAAAAAATTTCTAAAATATGTACTCTCCTTTCTGTGTTCTCATGTTTCTCTGAAGATCTGAAGGACCGACCAAGACAGCATTTTAAAAAATTCACATGAAATGCGTTTATCAGGGAAAAGTGTCATAAGTTAGCCTTGTCCCATCTTGCCCAAATACATAAAGATTAAGAAACTCAGGGCTGTTTTTCTTTAACTTTGTTATTGATTAATTATGGTATTTTAAAAGTTGTATTACATTTCTAAAATAGATAAAACTCTGCCTTGTGGGAGGCTTATAAAGTTTAATGAAATGAATCAGATAAATAATATATAAAAAGAATTGCTTTAGGACTAACATTCTAATAACAGAGCTTTTTAAAATAATCAATTTGAATTCATTTCAAATGCTGACCAGATTTGACTTTCCCGTCGATACAGAGGCCTATAATGATTGCATTCCTTCGTTGGATTTTTCTTCACACAAATGAGCATGTACTTAAACTTTGCTTAAATACCTGGACATGCTGACACAAGTCGGGGCAGAATTGCATAGACAGCCCACACCCTGGCTCTTGGCTAGTTCGTAAAATCCAGGACACACTGTGACCCAACTGTGCAAGTCACTGTTTCATGAATCAGCCCCCTCCATGCAAGGGAAAATATTCTTGGTAACCTGGCCATACCATTCTAAGGTGAGAAAAGTGATTACCTGGGAAGAAGACATAAAGGCTACCGCATGTACAGACTTGCTTTGCTGAGGACATGGGGAATTTCTGTTTGCTTGGAATTAGCCCCAGAATTCAGAATTAAGCTAACTACAGCTTATTTTTCTAATATTCTAAAAATGCATGCTTTTCATAAGAACCTAGGTGGTGGCTTTCCTATTTGTGCATACTTCGCCTCTGCTTACCATCCCTGAGCCCTTGGCATTAACCCAGCATTGCTTGATCTCTTCAGGTGATGTGAAATAGAGATTAATTAGTCAGAGGTGTATGTGTAGAAACTACCCAACATATAATCAGAAGGAGGCACAAGACCGTGAGGGTAACTGCAGGTTCTGAAAGGAGAGCTGATGGAGTCTGTGCCAGAAACTAGGCAGGCAGGGAGCAGTATGGTCAGCAAAAGGATGTTTTCCTTTTCTTTCCGCTTTTGGTGCTTAATTCAAGAGACCCTCATCCAATGAGAGCAACTGGAGACAGGCAGTCTATTCTATGGAAGCTGCTAGGTCCAGTCTCTCGCTCAAGGTAATTTATAACAGCTTTTGTTCTTCCTTCATATAGGCCCCAGGAACTCATCGTGATGAAGATTTATGACTCACGGTAACTACTGATAGAAATTTTATGAAACATAGTTATCACCAGGCTCTGTGGCTTAATTTCTAATACTATGTGACTTGTAAGTTGTAAGACAAATTCCATAGGCTGCATTCCTTTTCTCTTCAAGACTGCCCCTACTGCATCTAACTCTAGAGATTTCTTTCTCTCCTCATCTCCAAGACTTGCTTTGGTGGATAATATACTCCCTAATTTCTTGCTAACTATATTGACATGCACACCATTTCTGCTTTAGAAGTTTAGACTAAGTACTATAAGAATGCTGACACCAGAATAGGACATAAGAAGCAAGGGGGGAATTGTAAAAGCCTAATAAATTATATAAAACTCTTTAGTCAGAGTCCCTAGCCTGAAAAGGGATGACACCCTTTGGCTTTTTCATAAGAGTGAAGTTCAGAATAAACAATAAGATGAAATATCAACGTCCTATTTGTGGGTAATATTTATGCTTCAGGGACTTTCAGGTACGTGTTACCAAATTCAGTGGACATTTTCACAATACAGAAGTCAGCTCCCACAAATATATTGTTGGGATAATTATATCCCTATTCAGAATGATCTGAGTACCAAGGAGTTCTTCAATCAATATACTGAAAAAGTAGAATTTGACTTCACATTTATTTCTATCATTTGACTCATGAGAATAACCAGAATTCACTGAATATAAATGGGAGTCTGAAACACATTTACAAGACCCTGTGGCTTGGTTTCTAATTTCATTATCACTTTACTTAGCAATGTTGCTTGGGATGAACACTAATCCAAAATTTCTTTCCTCACTCAGTCCTCAGATCCAGAAGCTCATCTAACTGAATTTATGCCTATGTTCCATAAAGTCACCAGAAAAGTTTATTAATTTACAATGCAAAGTATTTACAAAGAGAGAGTTAATTTTTTTTCTCTAGATATCTAGTTCAGAAATGAGCTAAGGACAGCAGTGGGTTAAATGACAATGGAGCCAGGAAGTAAAGGAAAAAGAATACTTTTAGGTTGAAACAGCTTGCTAAAATTTCCTCCTGTAATTATGGCACTGCAGAGTTATACCTAACCAGGGACCTAAATATTCCTGTCACAAGTCTGGGCACTATTTGGGAAAATACCAAAAAAGTCTTACTTTATCATTCTCATTTTTCTGAATGCCATATGCACCGATGCCTTTCAGATTCTACATTTTCATCTCCCATTGCAACCCTCTCACAATATTTGGACAGCATCGGCATTGTGTTTCACATTCCATTTATCTATCTTCCTATGAAAAGGAAGCATCCATGTATGTAATGTACTAATTGCTATCAGTCCCAATTAGGTAAACTTTGCCTCTTTTCCCACATTTTTGTTTATTTTCTAGCATTCATCTTATTTTGGTCTGCTCTCTATATTCAATTATTATAACAGCGTATGGAAAAAACACACCACATTTCAAATTTGTATTTATAACATCAGTTGAATGGGTGCTATAGGCATAAATAACAGCAAAATGGTATTACAAAATCATAAAGGAACATTATATAGGATAAATATTCCTTTGTTTCTCATCCTATATGTGTGAATGAAAGAATTAACATAGGATGACATAATAATGGTAAGGGTCTTGGTACAACAGTAAATGATAAGGCACAATTGAACAAACCTACCTTGTGGTCAATCATTACTGACGTGGGGTTTTAATTCCGAGGACATTCATTTTGTTCTAATTACAGCACTCACAAAGCTTTGACAGCATAGAAGGCAAGCACCCAGAAAGGAAAAAAAACCATATTGTAATTAATATTAATAAAAATATTATAACTAACGCAGACTATAAAACATTCTTAAATTTTAAAAGGACCCTGTGATTAACAAGTAGTACTGAGATAAGTGGATATCCACATGAAAAAGAATGGAGTTTCATTCATATCTCACACCATAGACAAAAATTAATGCAAAATGGATCACAGTCTTATATGTAAAAATTATGTTTTCTTAAAAGAAAGCAAAGGAGTAAATCTTCATGACTTTGGATTAGCCAATGGTTTCTAGATGTGACCCAAGAGTGCAAGTGATAAAAGAAAATTTAGATAAATTGAACTTCATAAATATTAAAAACATTGTGCTTCAGTGGACCATCAAGACAGCAAAAAGGCAACCTACAGAATAGGAGAAATTATTTGCAAATCATACATCTGGTAAAGAACTTCTATGCAGAATATTAAAGAACTCTTATAACTCAACAATAAAAAGATAACCCAATTTAAAAATGAAGCTAGGTGTGGTCATTCACACCTGTAATCCCAGCACTTTGGGAGGCCAACATGGGAGGATCGCTTGAGGCCACAAGCTTAAGACCATTCTGGGCAATATAGCAAGAGCTGGTCTCTATAAAAAAATTTAAAAATCAGCATATGATGGCATATCCTTGTAGTCCCAGCTACTCAGTTAAAGCAGGAGGATGCCTTGAGCCCAGATCAAGGCTGCAATGAACCGTGATCATGCCACTGCACTCCAGCCTGGGTGACTGAGTGAGCTCTGTCTCTTGAAAGAGCAAAGGCTTTCAAGAGACATCTTTTCAAACAAACAAGATACACAAGTGTCCAATAAGCACATAAAACAATGTGTAATATCATTAGATATTAGGAAAATGCAAATCAAAACCACAATAAAATAACACTTCACACCCACTAGGATAGCTATGGTACAAAGATGAGCAATGGCAAGTACTGCTAAGCTTGTGAAAAAACTGGAACTCTCATACATTTCTGATGGGGATATACAGTGGAGCAGCATTTTGATAACAGTTTGGCAGTTCCTCAAAAAGTTAAACAGAATTATCATAAAAGCCAGCACTTCCACTCCTAGTGGACCCTATCATACTTATAACTTAGGATGAATAAGACATATGTTCATACAAATTCATAATAGCCCAGAAATGTACACTATCCAAAATGTGCATCAACTGTTAAGGTATGACCACACAAGTGTATATCATTCAATCAAAAAAATGAAGTATTGATACATACTACAGTATGGACCTTGAACACATGATGCTAGGAAAATAAGTCAGACACAAAAAGCCACATGTTATATGACTCCCTCTATATGAAATGTCCAAAATAGGCAAATCCATGGAGATAGAAAATAGATTAGTTGTTTCCTGGGTTGGGGGAGACAAGAGTCTGGAGTGACTCCTAATGGGTATTGAATGTCTTTTAGGAGTGATGGAAATGTTCTGGGATTAATGACGATAGTTGCAGAGCTTTGAAAATAGCAAAAAATACTGAGTCGTACTCTTTAAAATGGTGAATTTTATAGCGTATGAGGTAAATATAAGAACTACAGTTATGATTCAGAAAGGCTGAGGACTTTATTAAGATTAAAGAGAGGTGGTGTAGTGTATTGATTAGGCTAACAGTTCTCAAAATGTGGTCCATGAGTCAGCAGCATCAACATCACCGGAAAATTTGCTAAGAGATGCACAGTCTCAGATTATGCTCCATCTACTGAGTCAAAATCCCTGGGGTTGGGGCTCAGGGATTTGTGTTTTAACAAGCCCTGCAGGTGACTGATGAACACGTAGGTTTGAGAGCTACTGGGTTAGTTACAGCTTTAAAAGCCTAATTGCTTTTCTACTCACCAGATCTGTAGCCTTTGGCAAGTTCCTTGATAGTTCTGTGTCTCAAATTATTCATCTGGAAAAATGATTCCTCACAGGGTTTTCTGTGAGGATTAAATGTTTTAGCATAGGTAATGTGCTTAGGAGAGGGCTTGCCACTTAATGCGTACTCCAAGTGTTAGCCATTATTATGCAACAGTACTGAGCTAATAGGAGAATCAAAGGCAGACCTTCAGACTCAATAGAATGTCAACCACATAAATATATTTTTTCTAGTATACACATTTTTTAAAAAAAAGTTTAACAAAGAGAAATTCATTTTAGTAGTACACTTGATTTATCTAGTGCATCGAAAGTATAATTTCAACATGCAATAAATGTAAAACATCTAAAAATATATATATTCTCTTTTTTACACCAAGTCATCAAAATGAAGTGTATTTTATATTTAGAGTACTTCTCTATTTGGAATGGCCACATTTTACTAGCTTAATAGCCATACATGGCTATTATATCAGAAAACACAGTTCTAATTCAAATATGATCTATCTTCCTTCCTTCCTTCCTTCCTTCCTTCCTTCCTTCCTTCCTTCCTTCCTTCCTTCCTTCCTTCCTTCCATTTTTATTATACTTTAAGTTCTAGGACATGTGCAGAACGTGCAGGTTTGTTACACAGGTATACATGTGCCATGGTGGTTTGCTGCACCCATCAACCCGTCATCTACATTTGGTATTTGTCCTAATGCTATTCCTCCCCTAACCCCCCACCTCCCTACAGGCTCTGGTATGTGATGTGTCCCTTCCCTGTGCCCATATATTCTCATTGTCCAACTCCCAATTATGAGTGGGAACATGCAGTGTTTGGTTTTCTGTTCCTGTGTTAGTTTGCTGAGAATGATGGTTTCCAACTTCATCCATATCCCTGCAAAGAACATGAACTCATTCATTTTTATGGCTGCATAGTATTTCATGGTATATACGTGCCACATTTTCTTTATCCAGCACATCATCACTGGTCATTAGAGAAATGCAAACCAAAACCATATTGAGATACCATCTCACACCAGTTAGAATACCAATCATTAAAAAGTCAGGAAACAACAGATGCTGGAGAGGATGTGGAGAAATAGGAACACTTTTATACTGCTAGTGGAGTGTAAATTAGTTCAACCATTGTGGAAGACAGTGTGGTGATTCTTCAAGGATCTAGAACTAGAAATACCATTTGACCCAGCAATCCCATTACTGGGTATATACACAAAGGATTTTGACCCACCAATCCTATTACTGGGTATATACCCAAAGGGTTATACATCATTCTAATATAAAGACACATGTACATGTATGTTTATTGTGGCACTATTCTCAACAGCAAAGACTTGGAACCAACCCAAATTCTCTCTTCTCTTTCTAAAGTTCCTGAACATTCAGAGATGTAGTCTCTGCCTGAGGATTTCCGAAGAGTAGATGACCAGATGGGCCAGGTCATGAAGCATAATTTCCTAGCCACATCCCATCCTAACAGGTGATGCTGGGTTCCAGAAAAGTCTCCCATTGACCCACCTCCTCAGCTACATATTGTTATAATAGAACTGGTAAGCTGCCTGAAGAGAATCTTAATAGAGGAATGTATTAGATTTCAGGCTTTTAGGTGTTGTTCGTTGTTGTATCCATAGGGTCTAGAAAATGTGCCTGGCATATAGCAGGTACTGAACACACTTTTTTCAAATCATAAACATTAACAGTGTTTTGCTAACTTAGCCTTTCATTTTCTAATATTTTCAAATATCCAAAAACATTAAAAAATTTCTTTAATATTGTCATTCCTGGCCAGGCACTGTGGCTCACGCCTGTAATCCCAGCACTTTGGGAGGCTGATGCAGGTGGATCACCTGAGGTCAAGAGTTCGATACCAGCCTGGCCAACATGGTGAAACCTCATCTCTACTAAAAATACACACACACACACAAAAATAGCTGGGCATGGTAGTGCATGCCTGGTAGTATCAGCTACTCCGGGAGGCTGAGGCAGAAGAATCACTTGAAACCAGGAGGCAGAGGTTGCAGTGAGCCAAGACAGCACCACTGTAGTGCATGCAGCGGGTGACAGAGGGAGACTCCATCTCAAAAAAAAAAAATTGTCGTTCCTTCTCACAAGTAGACCCATCTTTGTCTTCTAACTCCTAGTTACCTTTAAATATTTATCAACCCCTTAGTAAAGATCAGGTTTCACAGAATATAAACCCATAATATAATTGCTGATATTTAGGGGTTTATTTTCTGTGAGAGTATATATTTCATATATGTACAAACATCATACAAAGATCATGAGTATAATTTTTAAAAAATGTTTATTGCCGGTCAAAGAAAAAAATGAAAGCAAATATCCAGAGTTATACAATTTATGATTTTCCCTGCATTCTCAGTAGCAGTAGTTACAGGACATATTTTTATGTTAAAGGCCCATGCTGCTGGAAGATGCTGACATTCTTAAAACTTATCTCCTGAACAATCCGAAAGAGCACAATGAAACACCATTGATGTATGGGTGAATAGTTTCTCAAGGAGGCTGGCACCTCAAGTGCATTAGTTTCTTCACTGAGGTCCTAAGATTCTCACATCAAGATGAGAGCAGTTTACTCAGAGTAAAAGATAAGGTCTTAGTAAAGGCCTACAAGGCCTCTCTGACTTCATCCCACTGGAGGGAAGTGAGTGTGGGGAAGAATACTCCTTCCTATTCCTCAAACACACCAGGTTTGCTCTATCATTCCAGTTACAGATTCTCTGTAAGTTCTTTCTGCCTGGAATGTTCCTTCCCCAGGACCAACTTGGCTAACTACTCTCACTGCCTTTGTCTTGCTCAAATGTCTCTACTTCTCCAGGAGTTCTACTCTGATTGCATTATTAAATGCAACCATCTGCCCCTATTCCGCCACACCCCCACTCATGCCTGCCATATTCCTTAGCCTGCTTTCTACTCCCCTTAGCACTTCCCATATTGAAGATATGGCATATTGTGTTCTTTACTCTTCCTCACACTACAACATAAACTCCATAAGGGCAGATCTCTTTACTGTTTGGTTCACTGAGGTACCTTACCCTATAATAGTAGCTGGCAGAGAGTAGGCACTCCATAATAACTCCTTGAAGAACAAATAGAGGGATTATTTCAGTCATAGACCAAGCTCTTTAATATATCACTTTTCCTTTTCAATTTTAGTCTGCTCTAATATTAATATCAGCTGAGAGGTTTTGCAGTCTGAGAAGTTGAACTCTCCCAACCTGTTGGTTGGGCTCGGTGAAGGATCTTGTCTCTGGAATTTATCCTTCTGGGCAGGCTGCCAGAAACTGAATTTGTCATCTTTGGGATATGATGCAAGATTTAGGGTTTTTTTGTCATTCTGAGGGGTGTGTTTCAATTTTGGCTGACTTTATTGTTTTGTCTGGGACTTTATTCTTGTGTTGAGTTTCATTTGTCTGAGTTGATCAAGCAATTTAGCAACTATTCTTCACAGAGCTATGGAATACTAGAAATTAGAGCTGAAAAACACCTCATGGTTGATCCAAACCATCCCCCTGCCATTAAGTCTTCTTGTTCACTACAATACATTGTCCATGGCTTTGTTCAGTTTTAAATGTCCTTAGAGATTCTTTTGGGCCTTCACCCAACAAACCTAATACTCCTGACAATTAACAAGAATTCCCAATGTTTTGTCTAAACTTTCCCTTTCTTATTTTCATTTTATTTCTCCTATTTACAGTCCAAGGTCAAACCTTTTTCTTTTGGAATTTCATACCTTTTAGAGAGGTGTGGGCTTACATTTCTGCTCTATTAGTTTTTTAACCAAATATGTGTTCCTACCTTAATCTTTCTTCATTCTCTTTGTTTAATTTTGGTTTTGGTTTTTGAATTCCTTCCAACTTGTCACCTTGGTTTGCAGTATGTATAGTTTCACTGTATACTCACTGAACAACGATCACAATGCTTTTCCTTCAGAAATCTTAAGACAAAGCACTGCCATCTGCCATATATAATTGCAAATATGTTGAATTTGATGCCATAAGCAACCTAGGGTATTTTTATTTTATTCATCAGAATATTAAATAAGTTCAGTGCCATGCTGTTTAGTTAACTTGATTTTAAATTCTGATGTTAATTGTGTAATCTCAGACATCTCCCTTAAGCTCTTTGTACTTTTGTTTTTGTATCTGCAAAAGGAGAGAAAAATATCAGCTTCAGACTCCTTTGCTGTAATCTTATGAAAATAAATATGTTATTCTAGGGCTAGAAAGAGATCTTTCAGAGAGAAAAACACCTCACTTCCCAGCTTTCAGACAGAATCACACAGGATAAATTATTCTCAATATATGAAGTTCCAATGATACTCTTTTCTGTTTACAGTAATTTATGCTAAATCAATCCATCTTCATTTGTAGCAAAGGGCAAATTTTTAAAATTCAAAAATGCCATAAGCTGATCTTTGTAAAATACTAAATCACGGGGTTGGATGAAGTAGTAGTGTCAAACTGCTCTAAGAGTTTCTAAGTGTTCATGCTCACTTTCTGTAGTTGTATTTTACAGGCACTGGTCCAGGGACCCCACTTTGAGTAGCTCTGTGCTAGACAATTATATTCCTCACCTTCAGATTCAGATACTTTTTAAGAAAATTCTTTCTCTTCTAATGATTAACATTAGACTTGATTTTACTTTTTAGTTTTTGTACTTCTATTCACAATCAACTTTAAAAGAAATAGAATAGCCAATTAATCATTCCTCCCAAAATATTTTATTACATATTTCTCATTTATTTATCATCACCTTTTTTCAAAGTGTGGCAATCCTTAATTTATATAATAAAATCAAATCTGAATGAAAAATACTTTTAAGAAAGAAGAAGAAGAATAAAAACAATTCCGTGGAGCTTACACCAGATCCCTGAGTTACAGAATGATCTCTTGGTCACAGCAATGCCAGCAGCTCCACTTTTCAAACTATCACTAGTCCCTGGCAGCCTACGGTCAGGGATAGGCTGAGAGCAAGCAACCACATTCCAATCAAAAAGATGGCAAAATCGCCCAGTGCTAATTCTACCCCACCTGACAGT